TGGCCAGGTGTGGTGGCCTGAAGAAGTCTGTGTGGGTCTCCCCTTTCACCCTGGGGTCGTGTTTAGCTGCAAGGTGCAGAGTTGGGAAGTGCTTCCTCACTGGCTCCTGTTTCCAGTGGCATCCCAGGTGGTGGTGTCACCTGAGCTCTGGTGGTACCAATTACAGGCATGAAATCTGGATAATTGGGGAGAAGTTCGAACACCTTTGAAATTCCAGAAGGGCCGATATCTTGGATCAAATGGAAGGGGCTGCCCAGTGAAGCAGTGAAGTCACCATTCCTGGAACTGTTCAAAGGAGGAGTGAACGTGGCATTTTGCAGTATGATTTAGTGGGTTTTGGTTGAAGATCGGACTTGATGATCTTGGTGGTCTTTTCCAACCTTTAGGATTCTGTGATTCCCTGAAATCTAATAGTACAACCGAAAAAGAAGGGACTTTAGTACCAGAAAAGAAGTATAATAGGAGTAGTTCATATGTAGCAAGGTGTGCTGGACACTTGCTTAGCTTGTGGATAGCTCTGGTAGTTATTGCATGATGATTATAGGTTATTCCTGTGGTATTTCCAGGTGTAAAAGACATGATATAAGGAATGGAATGGAGTTTCAAGGTCTGCTTGGGCACTGCTTCACTCCTCTGGAGTAGATCAATATGGATCTATTTGAATATAAATATTAAAGTGCCATTAAGACAAGTAGGTGATTTTCAATCAGCACGTTTGGGGTGGTTTTTTACACGTGAATTGCGAGAGTGGGGCAGGTGGGATCTACAGAAAACTGTCAGGCAAGCATTAAAAGGGAAAAAATCAGCGATGCTCTCGACAAACCACATTTTGTCAGGGCAATATTTTCGTTTCCTCTGCAGGAAAAGCTCTTAACAGTTGGGGTTTTTTTGTATTTTTAGCCCAGATGCGGTGGAGTGACAAACCGATTCTCTTAATTCCATAAATAGCTCAGCTGGCCTCGTGGAATGAACCCAAATTGGAGGAACTAACCCCTGGGAATGTGGGCTGGGAAGTGCTGCACTGGAGCTGGTGGTCCAGCGATCACAGCCAGGCCGTTCCAGCCCCGCTCCGTGGCAAGCAGGGAGGGGGGAATTAATTAAATAATTACACCTTTGATTAGCTGCTCGTTGCCTTTGAAATATGATAGCATAATCTGAAGCTTTTTATTAAAAGACAGGGTTGTTTTTTTTTTTTCTAGGTGGTTGAAAAGGATTTTTGTGCGTGGAGGTAAAAAAGGGGCCATAATTTTCTGCTTCAGATAATGAAAAAAGCGAGGGAAATGTTTCCAATTACCATTTAGTTCTGTCGATTTGAAGCGTGTATGTTTATAGTGTATTGGAAAGGCAGTGAAATCGTTTAGTGGGTCCTTTACCTATTGCAGAAGTTTTGATGGAGGAAACATTGCAAGGAGAACAAAAAAACAAAAAAAAAACCAAACAAAAAAAAGAATTAAAACCATTTTTTAGGAGTGTTTAATTAGAGCAACTTTTTCCCCCCCTGTCACGAGCAGAAGTATGAATGTGTTTTCATTTTTTTTTTCCCTTCATTTGAACTGTTCAGAGCTGGGTAGAAGCCAAACATAATTAACTATTAATAGGATTTGAAGTATTACTTTTAGAGTGTTTTCTGGGTTTAAAATAGAGCACTGGGAAGGATTTCAGTTCTGGAGGAAAGGTTTTGTTTGTTTGTTTTTTGTACCACACAGAGAATTTTAGGTATATTTGGGGAAATATCTGTAACACTCAGCACTTTTAGTAATTTACTTTACTATTTTACTTCACATCAGCTTGGGGTTTTTTTTGAGTATCCTGGAGTCCAAAAAGAGCATATTAAGGACTGTTACCATGTGAAACACTTTTTGTCTCTTGGATCCGTTTTTTTGGTCCCCTGGGATGTGTGTCCTGGTAACATCTGTGCACCAAACAGGTGTGTTTGGAAACTTTATAGAGTCACAATCAGGTTTAATCTGGTTTAATAGATAAGCTGTACATGTTTGTTAGGAATTATAGAAAACTGGTAGGTGCATTTATCATCCCTGCCTGTGGCAGGGGGTACGAATGAGATGGGCTCTAAGGCCCTTTCCAACCCAAACCATTTGAGAATTCTGTGATTTTGTGATTCTGTGATTTTTTTTTTTAAGTTCTGGGCACTTTGTAGGGTTTTGGTTTTTTTTTTTTTTTTTTTTTTTTAAATTTAGGTGTTGGACAGGTCTAGAAAAACAATGTTTCCAGTTTATTTTACTTTCTAAATGTCATATATTAGATATGCCTGGGGTTTGGGCTGCCTATTTTTTTAACCCTTTTGATGTTTGAGAAACATGTTTTTCTAGTTTTTTTCTGGAGTCTCTACTTAGAGACGCTTCTTAGTGGCTTTTTTGGAAGAAAACACACTCCCAGAAGATACTTCAAATCGATCTGCCTGAAGGATCTTTCTAATTAGTGGGTTTTGCTGTTAAATAATGGGGTATTTCTTACAGCTTTTTCTTGGTTACCAGTTGGGGTTGATTTGATTGTTTGAGTGGGTATGTGATATAGATAATAGATGTAGGTATGATATAGATAGATATAGTATGGATATAGATATATAGATATAATCTAGAGATGGCAACAAGAGCTTTAGTTGAATTAACTTTGGACCCAGCAAGTGAACCCAGACCAGAGAGGCTGAATATAAATCAAAGGGACATAAATCAAAGACAAACCAGGCAAGTAATGACCTCTGGTGCCTGTTCCAGCCTTGTTGGTGGGTAACAACACTGCCATTCCAGAGGCAGGCAGGGCAGGAGGCTCCACGGGGTCCTGGCACATCCCAGAGGCTGTGCTTGGCAGTGCCCAGACCCTGCTGCTGGTAATCCTATGGAATCCCCAGAGCCAGCAGAGCACCTGGAGCAAACAGGCTGGAGCCTAATCCATGGGAAAGGACACACTGGGATGTCTCAGGACCTCAGCAGCACTGAGGGAGAAGTCCATTTGTTTAAAGAGAAGGGAAAGACCTGACACCTACCACATTAGAATGGATTATTTCATCAATAGGTTAATAGAAAACCAGGCTGAGGGTTCACTCCTGCTCACGCAGCCGGACTCAAACATGCCATTAAAAAGTGTGAAAAATGGAAAAAGGGACTGGGAAAGGGTCTCTGTGCTCTGCAGACCATCTTCCCTTCAGAGGGGTGCCAAACCTCGATTTTGCCTATTTATATGTAAATGTTTTAGAGGGGAAAAACAAGATTTCTGCTGGGCAATTGTGCCTCTGCAGGTGCTGACACTTGTTAAACAGGTCTTAAAATGAAAGGGTTTTTTTTCAGCTTGAAGGATGCACCCAGTGAAAATACCTTCAGGTTTGATGATGTCACCGAGAATCCAGTCCTCCTTTTCAGCATGTGACATAAAAGCCTGCAGATGGCTTTATTAAAACCACATATAGCTTGACAGCCTTAGTTCCTCAGCTGAAAATCAGGCTTTTTGTTAAAGATTGGAAGGACTTCACGTCACTGTTCCTTTTCCCCAGAAGCAGCCGTTTGGTCTGACTTTTGTGGGGCATTCAGAAAGTTCCCTCACAAATACAGGAAGAAAATTTCTAAATCATTCTGTCCCAGGTGCTCGGTGTGTTGTGTGATGGCCACGTCATCCCAAAGATTGTGAGGAGCGTCTGTGGTGGGACAGGGGAGGGCCTGAGGTCCCTGAGGAGACCTCTCAGATCGTGGAGTCCAACCATTAACGCAGCACCACTACTAAACCACTAAACCATGTCCCCAGGAGCCACAGTCATGCCTCCAGGGATGGTGATCCCACTATTTCCCTGTTTTTTCAGTTGCTGGCGGTGCCAGCAGTGTCCTGGTGTACTTGGATGTTTCATGTAATTCCTGTCTGATGAACCCCAACCTAAACGTTTTGTTGATTGAGCGTCCTTCTCACGCTGGGATTTCACTCTTGAGGCAAAGCACGTGGGTTTTAAAGCAGGTGAAAATATGCTCTCCCCTAAGGAGCACAGGAATGGAGTGGGTTTTGAGCAATATTTTTGCTAATTGTGAAACAGCAGCCGGGAGCTCGGAGGATCTCAAAGTTTGGGTCAGTTCTAATAAAACAGGGATGTTACTCTGTAAAGGATTGATTCCCCCCCTCCCTTTCCAAATAAACACCTTGGTTTTGCAGTGATTTGCCAGGGGGGAAGGAAGGGAGGGCCACAAGCATCAATTGCATCAATGTCTGCTTGACATTCCTCAGAATAATTAGGTAATGCCCGGAGCAGCTGTGGTTGCCCCATCCCTGGAAGTGTCCAAGGCCAGGTTGGACAGGGCTTGGAGTATCCTGGGTTGGTGGAAGGTGTCCCCAGGTGGCACTGGATGGGCTTTAAGGTCCTTCCAGCCCAGGCCATTCTGTGAGGATTCTAATGCCTCTGAGCTCAGCACCACAAATAGCATTCGTTGTTAGGAGGATTTAAGGTCATTACATCATCACTTCAGCTGTTAAAGGTGATGATGTAAAAAGGAGGTTTAAGGGTGAACTCCAGGCACCAAGGGATCCCTACAGGCTTTTGGAGGAAAAGGAGCTCTTGTCAGGCTGTTCTGTCATGAATTAAATCGCCTTTTACAGTAGATGTTTTGTCTAGTCTTGTATCCTCTGCCCAAATACTTCCTGCCTTTTTTTTACTTCTCCTGGTCTGTTTTTGTCTATTCCAATAGCAGATCCATTTAATCTTGTCATGTCACGTTGTAGAGACTGAAAGAAAAAAATCCTTCTCAAGAGTTTTTCTGTCTGGGCTGTGGATTGGAGAGGCTGAGTGGTCCTGTGTGCGTTTTCTGTGTGGAGCTCTTCACGTGTTAACAGGCTCGTGCTTGTATTTTACTTCACATGCTTTTTTTGATGTTTCTTTTCTCCCCTTTTTCATTGATATTTTTTTTTCCCTTTTTTTTGTCCCCTTCTTTTTCTTTATTTTTATTCTCTTTTTTTTTTTTTTTTTTTTTATCTTTTCTCTTCCCCTCCTGCTTCTCTGGACGCAGCCAAACGCAAAGCTTGGAAACTAAACCGTGTTGGTAGCCTGCGAAATATTTACAGCAGCAGCAGCACCAACACCGAAGGTAACAAACCCACCCGTCCCAGATGGAAACCTCCTCTCTCTTTCTCTCTCTTCCCCCCCCCACCACCCACCTTTTTTTAACCCTCTTCTCCAAAACTTCGTGCTCCTCGCCCCTCTGTCCCTTCCCCCAGTGTGGGCATGGAAATGAGCTTTGCCCCCCCCCCAAGCATGCCGTGTCCCACCCGTGTTTGCAGAGTCATTCCACCTGGGCTTTTCATCTCTCTGGTTGTTGTGCCTTTTTTACTGTGCCATTCATTCGTGTTCCTTTCAGCTTACTTAAATCTTGACCTTTCCCTCTAGTCGTGGAGTGGTGATGTTTAAATTACTTCAGCAACCCCATTTTCTCCTTTCCTTTATTTTTTTTTTTTTATTTTTTTTTTTAGGAGATATGCGTATATTTTCCCTTTCTCCATGCGGGCACTCGATGTAATATTTCCCAAGTTATTACGGTTTTTAAAAGTGTTAGTATCAGGTGTAATGATCTGTAGCCAAATACAATAGTGTGCCGTGACATTTAAGTAACAATCTTAATTTGTTTTGTGCAAGCCTTCTCCATAATGCTCTTTGCAGCTCTAATCCAGAGGCGAGACAGTGCCGGGTCATTTGCATGTGCTGCTCTTGCTTGTAAATTCTGGATATTGTTGTATTTCTAAAGGTCACCCGGTGCCAAAGTTCACAAATTGGCTTGCATTGCTTTTTTTTTCCCCACCCAAGACAGCCGTCATGCCTTTTGTATAATAGCACATGGAATTTTATATATTTGTTTCCCCCTCTCACACCTACACTTTCATTTGAACAACACAATTATAAACTGCCTTTTTTATATATTTTTTTGTTATTATTATTATTATTATTACAAATGTCAAAGGTCAGAATTACTTGGAAACCAGGCGAGGAGAAGGGGTGAAAAACCCACTCCAGCACCACCATCTCCAGCAGCATGGAAGAGGGATGGTGTAAGAAACAGGGAATGCAAAATAGGTCACAACTCAGTAATCTTGCTGGAAGGGAGGGGGAATTTTTCTTTTTTTTTTTCTCTTCACTTAAGTGCGAACCAAATGGGTCAAGTAATGGCGAGCGCCTGCCCTAACACTAATTGACTTATTTTGGAATGATTATAACTGTAATATTTTTCTTAATGTCACTGTTTTCTGGGCTGTTGATTTTAGTGATTGCCAAGCGGTGGCATTAAATCTCTTGTAAATTTTAAATTGCGAGCTATTTCTGTAAACAAGTCCCTCTGTTCACATCCTGGTCATTAACCTTTGGTGATTTATATCACCCTCCTTTTTTTTTTACCACAATTACAGCTGGTTGCTCTCCCTGCCAAACAAAGTGTGGGCAGGAAACAAAACTGGGATTTTTATTCCAGCTTGTTAAGGCAGCTTTTTTTTAAGTATAATTTTATTTTGTTTCTCAGTCTAAACGTAAAATTATTACCTTTCAGAGCTGCTAAACTGCCTTTTTTCATTCCTCTTCTTGCCTTTTCAATACAAAATGAGAGAAAATGATTGTCAGACAGTCATAAGTTTTGGTTGGGTTTTTTTCCCCCCCGCTTTCCTCTTTTTTAAATTTTAATTTTCCATACTGTTGCGGGGTTTTATCTCCCAGCCAAATTTTGTCTTCTAATCAGCGTGTTTGTTGTTCCAGGTTTGCTGCTTGAGAAGCTTGTGATTTTATACCTACCTGTTACTAAATCACAGCAGGGAAATAAATATATAGAATCCCCTTGTGTTGGACGGACAAAGGGGATTTTTTTTTTTTTTAGGGCAGGTCTATTTTGAGGGATCTTTCATCTCACTCATCAAACTAAGTGTCGAAGGCACCGTGGTATGGGAGCGTGGTCCTGCTGGCCGTGGCCCGGAGAGTTTGGAGGCACAGAATGAAATTCTAAAATTAGGGAAATGAATCTTTATTTTTTTGGATGTTTTCTGAGAGGCTGCGGTGGTGAGACGGGCAAATGTGGAGTTAATGAGCATGGTGGGCATTAAAGCCACGTGCTTTAGATAATTGTGCCTTCGAAAAAAGGGAACGGTGATGGGAAATGACAGCCCAGGGTAACAAATCTGCTTTGGTGCCCGGCTCGTGTTTGCTCAGTGGCACCAAAAAATATTTCCAACCCGCACAGCCCGGGTTCTAAAGCAGCAAACAGCCTCTCTGGTGATTTTTAATGCTATTTTTGGGTGTTCTGTGTGCTTCTAGGTAGCCAGTCCCGGGTTAGGGTAGAGAACTGTGCAGCTCAGGTGCTGCTGATGCCCACCTTGTCCCCCAGCCCGGAGCACTGAGTGGCACAGCCAGGTCCTTCCTTGGACAGCTCCAGGGATGGGGATTCCACCACTTCTCTGGGCTGCCAGTGCCTGACCACCCTTTGCAGCAGCAATTCTTCCTGGTGCCCTCAACCTGCCGTGGCACAGCTTGAGGCTTGTCCTCTTGTCCTGTCACTCGTTCCCTGGGCAAAAAGGCCAACCCCACCTGGCTCCACCCTCCTGTCAGGTGGAAAGGAGGTATAAAAATTGCACAGCTCTGTCCTCCCATCAGTGTTTATCCTTGCAAGAAATCTTAGTCTCGTGAATTTTAGGATTTGCCTGAACTCTTAGTTCTCAGGTCTGGGTTTTTTCTATGGGAAGCCACTGACAGGTGACAAAGTCCCACCTGCTCCCTATTGCAGGCAGCCCAGGCTTTAAGCAACCCTTTAATTCTCCAGGGGGAAAATATCTAGTATCAGTGAGTTATGCTTAAAACAAACCCCACTCTGGTTTTAAGACCTGCTGGAGTCATTTGTACCTGCTATCATTGTAGTACTATTAAAATACAGAATTATTTCTCCTGTGTCAACAGACTGAAGGCCAGGTTGGACGGGGCTTGGAGCAACCTGGGCTAGGGGAAGGTGTCCCTTTCCCATGGCAGGGAGTGGAATGAGGTGAGCTTTAAGGTCCCTTCCCACCCAAACTAGGCTGGGATTCTGTGATTTTACTGTTTTGCAGCAGAGTGGAAAGGATCATCTTTATGGAGTTTAATGCCCGTGCTCCGCATGCTGTGGTTTAACCTGCATAAAGACATTAAATCTTCATTTTTCCACTCTCCACAGCTACATGTGTGATTTTAAACAGTGCTGGGTCGGATGTGCCAGGCACTGATGGGCAGCCTTTAGTTTGAATATTCATGAAGCCCCAAACTCCCTTTGGTTTCAGAGTTAGTGATGCCTTTGCTGCCTGTGCAGGAAGTTACATCCTGTACAGACTGAATTTTTAAAGTTTTTTTAGAAGTCTTGGCACCCAAATAAAACAAGCCCATATGGTAGGGGGGGTTTCAGTGCCTTTCATCACCAGTTTGTCACTCGTGGGTAGCAACAGAAAACAATATTAAATTCTTCCAGTGGAACACAACCTTGATCGAGAGCTGTGGGCCAGCGAAAGCAGAGCTCTGTTGTCCTGATAGGGTTGATTTTCAAAACTAATTAGATTTAGACACTGGGTTTGGAGAGGGGAGAGAAGTATTAGCATAGCCATGCCCAGTGGGACATGGCACAAATATTTCCTTAATTGAGGCTGCTAATAAACATACTTCTCTGCCAAGTTGGGGGGGTAATTTACACTGAGTGGCGAAAGGTAAGGAGAGTTAAGCGTTACACAGGATATAAATAACACAAACTGTGTGATGTAAACATCTCCTGGTGCGTGGCAGGGCACCTCAGCAGCTCCTGGTTGCCACCCTTTTGAAAGGATGGGGGGTTACGAGGACGGTGCTTGAGCAGAAGAGCTTTTTGCAAGAGGGAGGAGGGCGTGATGAAAAGGGAGCTTGGCTTGGAAGCCAGAGCATTTATTTATTTGTTTATTTGCTTTTATTTCTGATTCTGGCAAAACATTTGCTGAATGCCTGTGAGAAACGCCCTAAGACTGGCAAGTTTCTGATTTATACCCACGAAGATGGTTGGATTTGATGATCTTGGAGGTCTTTTCCAGCCTGAACGGTGCTATAGTTTTATGATTCTGCAACAATAGGAATATTTCTTTGTTTAAAAGCTACCTTTTGGGATGGATGTAATGGATGTACTTTCTCACTGTGCAGTGCCTGGCAGAGAAGAGCCCTTGCCTTCTGTTGACTTTCAGTGCTGAAAGGTTGGGCCAGGTGATCCTTGAGGTGATCCTAACCCTAACCTTCCAACCTGATACTCAGTGATTTTGTGACTTTGAACCTGTGTTTGTGCTTGTTCAAACACTGGTGCAAGGTGTCCATGGCTCTTTATACAGGTCTTAATACTGAGAATAAAATAGGTTGGATGCAGAAATTGATACCAAACTGATTCATGCAGGTTCTTTAGAACAGCTCTTGCCAGATACCAAGAGGCATCACTGCTTCTGGACATGTGTTTTCCCTACATTTTCATCAACTTAATTGAGTTCTCTGGAACAAGTTAAAGACTAATTGTATCCTGTGGTAATTTTCAGTGTAGTTTTCTAAATCTGATCTCTGTGACACACCACAAACACAGGACTGTGCCTAAATGTTTGTTGTTCTCCTGCACAATCCTTTGCTTCTCAGAAACTGTGTCTCTGGTTTTCCAGAAGTGGGTGGGCTGTGGCAGTGTCTGGCTTTTGGTAGAGCAAAATAAATGTGAACTTGGGTTAAATGCAGTAACTTTGACTATGGAAGGATGATGGTGAAAAGGGTATCATGGAATCCCAGACTGGTCGGGGTTGGAAGGGACCTCAAAGCTCATCCAGTGCCACCCTCTGCCATGGGCAGGGACACCTTCCACCAGCCCAGGTGGCTCCAAGCCCCTTCCAACCTGACCTTGGACACTTCCAGGGATCCAGGGGCAGCCACAGCTTCTCTGGGCAACCTGTGCCAGGGCCTGCCCACCCTAATGTGCAGCATCAACAGTGGAATTGTGTAACTAAAATGCATGGAGTGCACACCCACTTCCACTAGCAGAAAAAGATCCCTTATGCTTTAGGTTCCATGTCATCACAGTCTCAGAGTTCTGGCTCATTTCCCGTCCCAGCCACCCCTCCCACTCTAAAAAAAAAAAAAAAAAAAAAGGCAAAACAAACAACAACAACACTTTAGACATCTCCTGTTGGTAATAACTTCCAAATGGAAGTCAGTGGCAGCTGGTTCTTCACACTTTAACCCTTCCTCTGCTGCCCTTCCAGGAAATAATTGATGACTGATTGGCCCATTAACCTTTTTTTTTTTTTTTAAAAAAAAAAAGTTTGACAGCCTGAACTTGTGTAATGAGGAGGGATTCCTGGTGAAATCAGGCTGATGGCTGAGTTGCTTGCCCCTGAGGATGCAGAATTAGCCCCGTGGGACCTCGTCTGCATAGAAACTGGACACAATTAGTGTAATATCCGGTGTTATTAATGTAGTTTGGAGTAATTGGGCAGGTTGATTTCGACAGGTTGATGGTGCTAAAATACTATTATAGTGGACCTTTCTGTGAATAACTGTTAAACATGGAAAACTGTTTAATAAAATTTTGTGATTGGGCTCACAGGGATTTGAATAGCACAACCTATAATTCGAACTGAGGAGTGAGACTGAACAATTTCATCCTGCTGCCTGGATCCTCCTGTTCCCCTGTGCAGTGGTTGAGGGTGTACAGGTTTGCTCCTTGTCTTTTGTGGGCATTGCCTGATCAGGTGTAGAAGACCTTAACTGTGTGATCCTACAGCAGACAGTGCACAGGGCTGAACAGAATTTGTTGTGGAGTGGTTCCTCTTGCATCTTGCTCAGGAACAGGAGGGCTCTGTTTGATAAATGAGGCTTTTCCCGTGATTTGTTGTCGGAACGTTTTGGGTACCGATTCTCCCTGTTTGTTTGTAACACAGTGCTGCTAAAATAGAAAAGCAGTTGTAGCTGTGCAGCTGGATCATTCATGTTTGGCCTGAGGGAACAACGTGGAGCTGTGTCAGGGGGGATTTTGGCTGGATCTCAGGGAAAGGTTCTTCCCCCAGAGGGTGGTTGGCACTGAACAGGCTGCCCAGGGCAGTGGGCACGGCCCCAAGGCTGCCAGAGCTCCAGGAGGGCTTGGATAACACCCTCAGGGACAGGGTGGGATTGTTGGGGTATCCTGGGCAGGGCCAGGAGTTGGACCTTGTGGGTCCCTTTCAGCTCAAGATATTCTGGGAGTCCATGATTTCTTTTCCCACTTACTCCACAAACTATGTTTTTAGTAAAACTGCTACTTCAAGTGCTCTCCTGCTCCTGAAAATAAGCTTCAACTCCATGTTTTTTCCCACCTCAAGGTGCAAAGTAACCTTCTGCTAAGGTGGAGTTTATCCAAGCAAACCCGACTGGCAGTGGCAGCAGCGCTGCCTTTAAAGCCCGTGCTGGATTTGTCCCTCGTCTGTGCATGCCAGGGGATGACGAGGGACCAGGGCAGTTCGTGGCTCTGAATGTGTAATAAGCCATTACCAGACAAAATGCTCTTTCTAAAGCTCGTTATGGCCGATGTTCACCAGAGTTTTGTGCTCTGTTATTCTTTTCTTTCATGCTTCGTGCCAGCCCCTTCCCAATTCCACTTGCTCTGTTTTCAGCTTCCTTGATTTTTTTTTTTTATTTTAATTTGCCGTTGGTGTCCCATGTGTGGGTAGAGTGTGTGTCCATTTATTGCAGTTCTGCTGGTATTTTCTTGTGCTGCTCCTCTGGCCTGAATACTTGTCCTTATCCTGCAGTAGCCCTAAGGATATTTCACTGACCCTCTCTGCTGGCTGCTCAGATCATTTTCTCATCTCCCATGTCGAACGTGAATGTTCAATAGGTTGAACTGATTTTAATCCTATATTATATCCCAGTGATTATTATTATTATTATTATTATAATCCCAGTATTTATGCTGTACAGGAGGAAATGTACACATCTGCTTTAATATATTTGTGCATGTAAAAACTGCTTGAAAGAAGAGGGTAAATTGTTACATTTTCTGTAGTGTCAGCTCTTTATAGTCCATTCATATTTTATTTTGTGGCACACTTCGATTTTTACATTATGTAGCTCTTAGCAGGTCAGGTTTAAATCTAAACACTGCTTGTTGGCCACTTTTATGTTCGAGAAAGGCACAGACTTGACACCAAACTCACAAACACACCCAGGAAACTGAGTATTTTCCCAAACCAGGGCTTTATCTGCATAACATTTGGAGGGAAAAATCAGTGGATCCATATGTTATTTCCTGATGCCTTGTACAGAGATCCAGGCTCAAACCTTTGTGTGTTCTGGAATCCCAGAATGGTTTGGGCTGGAAGGGACCTTAAAGCTCATCCAGTGCCACCCCTGCCATGGGCAGGGACACCTTCCACCAGCCCAGGGTGCTCCAAGCCCCATCCAGCCTGGCCTTGGGCACTTCCAGGGATCCAGGGGCAGCCCCAGCTTCTCTGGGCAACCTGTGCCAGGGCCTGCCCACCCTCCTAGCCAAGAATTCTTTCCCAATATCCCATCTAAACCTGCCCTCCTTCAGCTTAAAGCCGTTATATTATACCGCTGAAATTCTCATCAACCAAGCTTGTTTAAGCTGATTGTCAATACCCTTAACTCAATCTCTTCTTCCTATTGCAATTTTTTTTTTGTTCAGAACAAGAGGAGAACTTCGAGTTCATCATCGTCTCTCTCACCGGCCAGACTTGGCACTTTGAGGCCACCACCTACGAGGAAAGGGACGCCTGGGTCCAAGCCATAGAGAGTCAGATCCTGGCCAGTTTACAGTCATGTGAGAGCAGCAAGAACAAGGTATGGTGCCCAGAGTAACACTGAGAATAGCTGGGGAAGGTTGGGTGACCATTCGGATGAAAGCAAAGTCAAGAATTCTGAATTTTAAGCCTGTGCTCCTGGAGGAATGTGTGTGTTACACCCACAGCAGAGTTGGGCATTTCTGGGGGAAACATGGCCTAAGAGGAGCAGGTTTCTACCTTGAAATGTATGATGGCAGGAGGGATTTGTTCTCCTGTCCTGGCAAAATAAATGTTTAAAATCTGAGACATCTTCAGCCAGTGCTCATGTTTGGGAGAACTCCTGCATCTTCAGTCAAGGTGTCTGCAAATGCTTCACAGTTGGAGTGCAAGGTGCTGAGTGGTGGTTGAGGGAGAGAAATGGGCAATAACTGTTCAGACCTGTAGATCCTTTGATATTACCCACCCAGCAGTTGTCTTTCATGATTTTATATTGCAAGGAGGAGACTCATATTTTGAATTTAATGCCTGCTTTCCTTGCCCTGAGGTACCAGAGCAGATCAAACACCAGTCACTACCATCATCACAATATAGTTTACTTCCCATTTTGATTTTAAAAGGTGCATTTATTTCCAATATGCATTACTGAGGTGGAGGAAAATCACAGTGTACGTGTTTTCTTGCTTTTTGTGGATTCACACATTCTGATGTGTGTTAGGGGAGCAAAGAGCAGGGACTTTGCACCTTGACAACTACACAGAAATATTGCTACAAAAGAGGATAAAGAGTGGCTGGTGAGTGGCTCAGAGAGGTTCTCAAAGCATGTCAGAAGAACTGGCTGGAACAGCAAAGGGCAGGTTTAGGAGGTGTCCCATGGAGGAGGTGTCTCCACCTGAAAGACCCCGTCCTTGTCCTGCTTGAATCACTTTGTCTCCAAGAGTCCAGCCCTTGGTGCAGGTCACAGTTGGCTTCTCAGAGAGCCCTCCAGACACTTCAGCTGGGTAGAGCTGAACTGTTTGTATGTTGTGACAGCCTCTCCAGGTCCAGGTAGAGGGTCACTGGCAGGTCATTGTGGAGAGAATTCAGATGGGAGCCGTCAGATGAAATCTTGACCTTTTCATGATAAAAAGGTTTCAGCCGCTTTTGCAAACCACCCCTTCGTCTTCATTAGCAAAAGCATGCACATCAATAAAAGAAATTGATCCCAGGAAATACTGTCCTTATTTATCTCCAGAAGCAAACCTGCACTGTGACTGCTGTTCTTGGGAAGGGGGGATCATTCCCACGCTCCATTTTCCTCCGTGCGGTCTCCCCTCTTGTTAGAGCCCAGGCTGGAGCCCCCAGAAGCCTCGGGGGTGCCAAAACATCACTATTTCTTGAGAGGCAAACCCAAGACTTGAGGTTCCTTGCTGACATTCCTTCGGCCTCGCTCTGAGCTGTGTGTTTGCTGACGTTGTGTCTCCTCCCTGTGCTGGGCCCTGCCTTGTGGCTGATCCCTTTTCCTCCCCTCTCCGCAGTCCCGCCTGACGAGTCAGAACGAGGCCATGGCCCTGCAGTCCATCAGGAACATCAGAGGCAATTCCCACTGCGTGGACTGTGAAGCACAGAGTAAGTACAGCCACTGACTCTGAGCAAACCGACCTCTTCTCCTTGGCCAAGGCTCTGCTTGGCCAAGACTCGTGTGAACGCCCACCAGAGGCTCTGTCTTTTCGGTGTTACATCCCAGATGCTGTTTGCACGTTCCTTCTCCATTGTGGAGTTTGCTTAATCAGACTTATTTGATGTTAATTTATACCTAATATAGGCTGCATTGGGTGCACCCTGATTTTTTGCCCCTTGCTGTTTCACGTGGCACTTTAAATGTCAGCATTTCTGTACTTTCCTGTGAGGATAAGGAAGAAAGTTTGCTTTTGGACATCAGTTACTTCCATTTTCCTCCTTTGAGGGCACATGTGCCATGGTAATATTTTCAAAGAGGCAGAGCTTGATTGGTCTTTCTTTGGTTTGGCTTTTTAGGGTTACCTGTCAGAAGAAACCAAAGTCATTGCTCATTATATCTTGATACTAGAAAACTGATTTGAGATTATTTTTTTCTTCCCCTTTGTGTTTCTTTCTCTTTTTTTTTTATTTTCTAAAACATATACTTAGTGTTCAGAAGAGTGTTCTCGAGAATACTTTGAGCTGTGGTTCACCTCACTAACCCCAGCTCAGGTCATTATTCTGGTGCTCTTTAGTTCCTGGGGTTTGCAACAAAGCCACAAAAAGGAAGTTCTCCTGCTCTAAAGCAATTAGTTGTGGGAGCTGAAGGATTGAGAACTTGTGCATTTTTATTTCTTTGATATTTGGAAGTGAGAACTTTTCTTGCCATTTTTGCACATGTTTAAAATTGAAAAATATTCGTTTATTTGGGGTGTGTATATATATGTATTTTTTTAAAAAATTTGCTGTTTAGGGTTTTGACTACTGGTCTAAGCCATTCTGACATCCCAGTTTAAGATGGACATTCATACACAAGTGCAAGTGCTTTTGCACAGTTTGGTCTTTATGTTCCACTCGAGGTGGAACTCAGCACGTGGTAACAAGGGACAGTGTTGGTTTGGCTGGTATTTTAACACCCACAACCCAAAGCCACTCTCATTTATCAGTGTTCTTTCACACAGACCTGGTGGTCGTTGAGATTTCCACCAGGGCTTTGATGTGGTGCAGGTAGAAGGCAGGTGAGGTGGTGGTGCTGTGGAGGAGAAGGGATGGGGTCTGTGAGTGACCTACATGTATATTTAGCTCATTTGATGTACTCACTGCTGCCTGTGAGCAGAGCACGGGGGGAGTGGAGCTCATTCCTGCTCCAGTCTGGCTGTTCAGCTGTGGGTGGCATTTTCCTAGCCCCTGCTAACTAGATACATAATATTTCATATTTACATATTTTGTAAATATATATGTTTCTAATATAAATATTTTGTAAATAATATTTCTGGTAGTTTTACTTTGGCTTTATATTGATATTTTATAAATATATATATATGAGGGTTATAATTTATATATTTTAACGTGCAATCCCTTCACTGCAGACAACTTCACACACACACACAGGGGAGGTGAACCTCAGCCTGCTGCTTTTTCTACAGGTCTTGCTTTATTCCCTTTCCTCCCTTCCTGCCCTACCTGGCAGGTCCTCACCCCCAGAAGCCTCAGCTCTCCTGTGGAACACTTACGTAGTTTGCATCTCCACAGAGCCAGATGTTTGGGAGCAAAGGAATATGAGATGTTGCCATCCCTCAGCTCTGCTCAAGGGCCATCAATCTTCCACTTCAGAATTCTCACTCTCCCTCTCTCTAGAGCTCTTTGCCTTTTTTAGCACTTCATGCAGCACTTTTGTTTCTCCAGGGAATTTCTGCCTTGCTGGATGTTATTCCAGCAGCAGCTGCGTGCTGCCAGCATCCCAACCCTTTGACAGCTTCCAGCTAAAGTTGGGCAAAGTTCTTATTTTTCTAACATGCCCATCCTAGAGCAAGAGGTGAGGCCAAGTGCTCTTTGGGTGCTGGAGTTTTTGCACAAGATCTGATTTCATATTTCAGAAGGAAACTGGTGGTGCCTTTTCCCAGAGCGCTTTCTCTGTCTGGAGGAGTCACTGAAGGGAATTAAATTGCTTAGGCAAACCCAGCTAAATTTTCTGGAGTTCTGCCTCTTCCAGTCTTACACAGATGAGAGGATAAACACGAGTCACTGTTTTGAGGTGCCTGGAAAACAGGGAGGGCTTAAAAACAGTCTCATCGTGAGTTTTCCAGCCCGGGAGTCTCATCACTTACTCTGGGGTATTTTGTATTTGAGAGCCAAACACCAAAGTAATAATCTGGGCAATCCTGTCCCACCCATCACTAGATACAGTTTTATGTGCAGAGTAGAAAAAAAAACCACAAACCTCTCAAGGAATAGGAGAGTTACAGACTTTTCTCTCTCTGCTGTGACTCGAGATGCCTTCACCCCTGCTGCTTCTTTCCCTGGCTCATCTGCTCCTCACTTCAGGGATTTGCTCTGCTCAGCCCATCTGACACCTGCTGAACTCAGATTTTAGCATGGCAAAGCCTTTCACCAGCCTCCTTGGATCCAGAGGGATGAAGGAGACAGTGGGAGGGGTTATTCTCCCGAAAGAGCTTTCTCCTGCAAATGATCAACCTGATTGAGGTGCAGGGCACAGTGGGGAGGAGGCTTTCAGGGGAAGAGAGAGCCAAACATTTTGGAGAATGTTTTGGACAGCTGAAAATTGCTATCTGGATATATTCAGTGATGCTAAAACCCTCATATTTTGATTGACAAATTGTAAATAAGTAAAAGAGGGGACAGCAGCTTTATAGCACATCTGGCTCCTCTGAGGGGGTTTTTCTTCCTTTTACCATCAAACCTGGATGTCCATTCTGAAGCAGAGCCTGCCCTGTGCTTGTAAGTATTGTGAGCATCCTCCAGTTCAGAATTACTGTTGGCATGAACAGGAAAAGGGAGCTGGTATCATCATCTTAAAAGAAAAAATCCCATCTTGAATAGCTAGAGCTTGTTAACCACGTGTGGTTTCTTTGGTATGAATCGGTGAGAACAATTTTCACTTCTGTAACAAGTTCAACCCTTGCCTTTCCTCATTTGCCACCTTCACACTCATTCTGAGTCGCAGGTTGCAAATTTTAAATTTTTATCTGCTGTATTTTAAGTTTATACCAACAAATTGCTGTTTTGGTGGGGTTTTAGTGTGTTTCATATTGTTTCCCCCACTGGCAAAACAACACTGGAGGTGATCTGAAGAACTGTTCAGGAAAGGATTTTATCCTGGTTGTCACATCAAAAGCTTGGAAAGCATGGCAGGAGTTCAGTCTCACCTTATTTTTTGGAGTTCTGGAATGCTGTATATGTATAATACAGATGTTATATTATCTGTAGTATAAGGCCTGTTATGGACAGAAACTTTTAAACAAAAGATGTGTTTTTCTGCTCAAGGGGAATAAGATGGGGGATTTTTCTTCTTGGAGATGCTTTTGGATTTCTGTGGACTGACTGAAAAATGTCAATCAGTGAATCAAAGTCCCACGGTGAAATGTGGAACTTCTCAATTAAAATGACCTGCTTTCCCTTCCTATCTTTTGTCCAAACATGACATGGCAGAGAACTACAAAATGGGGTTTTTTCCATGTATTTTGGTTGCCAAAAATAACTTTTCAATTTTGGTTTGCACAAAGTTAAAATGAGTCTTTGGATTAAATATTCCTGAAAGGAAAATAACGCTGGAAATACATTTTCTATCAGCTCTAAATTTTATTTAGGTAAGAATAAGAATTTCCTGCCCTCTTTAGTTAATTACCATTTTCCTGCTTGGCATTTGGGATAGTCCTTTGGGATGCACAGGCATGAAGAGAAGATCTGACAGAATGGGGAGAGGCAAAAAAACCAACAAACATTCCTCTCATGTGTCTTCAGTTGTGTTTGTGAAAGTGACTGTTTGTTGGAGAGAGGATGATTCCTACAAATCTGGATTAAAATCACACGGGGCAGTGGCAAAAGAGTTGAACCATGCTGGGAAATGGAATTTCCCGTCTTGCATCAGGTTTGTCCCAGCACTACCTGTTTGTGGGGTTATTCTGGGTGGGTGGAATCCTTCTGGCTCAAACACTAAAAACCTGGGCTGTTCCAAGTGTCCCATTTCCATCTTAGTGCTGATCTTGGAGATGGAAACACCCCCAGAGTGTGCCTGGTGTAAGAGCCATGTGTAGCTGATGCTATAGGTGGGTGTTGAGGCCTTTTATGTGATTAGCAAGAGAGAACTTTGTTGTTGTTGTTCCATGGTTTTTTGTTGTTGAGCTTTTTGTGCTTTGATTGTTTTTTTTTCTCCTTTTCCCCTTGTAGTTGGCTCCAAGCAGCTCAGGATCCTTGGGGAGGGCCTTTCTCCACTGCTTCCTCACCCGCTGCCCATCACTGCAGTTATATTTTCTTTGTTTCTCCCTTTCTCTCTAATTCGTAGTTTTCTTTTGACTGGAGGTGGAGTGATACACCTTTTGAGACACCCCACTTTTTGTTGTTTTTTAAAAAAAAAATAATCCTTGAGGGTTTCTCAGAAGGGTTTGGATCTCCACTGGGATCTCCACTGACCCCACTCCAGACCTCCCCGCTGCGCTTTCGGACAAGCCACCCCCGGAGCCAAGCTCTTCACCCTCAAGCATCACCTGCAGAGTTCTGTTGTGGGTGTCGCCGTCCTAACCACCCGTGTCCCTCCTCCCACAGACCCTGACTGGGCCAGCCTGAACCTGGGAGCCCTCATCTGCATCGAATGCTCAGGGATCCACCGCAACCTCGGCACGCACCTGTCCCGCGTGCGCTCCCTGGACCTGGACGACTGGCCCATCGAGCTCATCAAGGTGATGTCGGCCATCGGGAACGAGCTGGCCAACAGCGTGTGGGAGGAGAACAGCCAAGGCCACATGAAGCCCTCGTCGGACTCCACGAGGTGGGTTTTGCTCGGTTCCATCCCACAGCAGGCTGGGAGGGTGAGGGGGAATGTGTGATGCTGCTATTTTTAACACTCCCCTCGCTGCGTGCCTCGTACAAATCATTATTTATATCCTCTCTGCGTGCCCCGGGGAAGAGCAGGTGTCCGAGTTGGGGGTGTCAGAAGTTGAGTGACCCCGTTACTTCGTCCCCCTCTCTTGTGAAGGTTTCCTCAGCGGCTCGGCGGTGTTTTTGTTCGGTGGCTGCCCGGCAGAACAGTGGGAGATGGAAACCTCCCGCCTGGCTCTTCCTCAGCCCAAATTACCCTGCCCTGTGTTCCTTTGTCTCGCTCGGCCACAAAGTTCCTGGCTCTTGGGCTGTCACTTTGTGATTAATAATCTGCCTTCAGAAGTTCGAGCTCGCTCGGGAGTTTGGACCTGGCTGTCGGGTCTCTGGGTTCTCCTCACAGATGTTCAAAGTCCTGCTCACTGTGGACTTGATTACTACTTTTTATGTGATATATGTGAAACCATGAGCTGGTGGGGGCGTGGGGGGTGTGTTTCCTGTGAGAACAGCATTTTACCTACGTCTCATAGCTCCAACACAGTGAAAAGTCTGTCTGTGATCCATTGTCCTACCAGAACCTAAAGGTTTCTGTGCTTAATTTTACCTGCTCGGTGTCAAAGAAAAGGTGTTTTGAAAATGTTTTGGTGGTTTCAGTGGGTTTGAGGTGGCTGGCTGTGACATAACTGGCTTGGGCGAAGCAGGGTGACCTCTGGCAGGGGGTTCAGGCAGGAGAAAGACCTGCTGGGCCAGGCTTTGGGGTTGGCTTCAGAAGGGTCTGACAGGGGAGCTCCATCCCAGGATGGAGGTTCAGCTCCCAGTGCTGCCTCCTGCACACGAGAAAACTCAGCGGGAATTCTGACCTGACTTTTGTGGATGTGTATCTCGGGATCCTGCCTTTTCCAGGTGAAGTGACAGGTGAGCCTGGGCCACCTCCCGTGGTGCAGGAGTAGGTTTGTACTGTGTTGTGCGTGATCAAGTCAACTGTTTCTTGTTGCTTTATTTCGTTAGCCCTGAAAAATGAATTTGTGGTGCCACCTTTGGTTCGTCTTCGAGAATGAAGGCACTACATTAATCAGGCTACTTAGATGAATCACTGCATGTAAGAGTGCTCAGGGAGACCTAAGGAGAAGGTTTGTTCAGACAGAAAGGAGATTCCTGCTGTAGGTGTGTGTTTTATTAGACAGGTAACATAACGATTTCATCAGGTAGATTGAAATGAACTTTGGGTCATTAGCGTCACTGTAATCCAGAGTTCTCATATTCCTGCACCTGACAAATATATGTTGCTCCTTACTACTGAGGGGAGCTGGAGAGATGCCTCAGTTCTAAATACTTGCAAGGAAAAGGCTTACACTCAATTGGTATTTAAATTAAAAAAAAAAAAATCACATTATTTTAGTAGTCATGTAATAAACATCATGAAAAATCTAAAATCCGTGTGACTGTGATAAAAAGAGCACCATCCATTTGAATAATGAATAATCCCAAATAATTCATTTGGGATTGAGTTTTACTTCTAGAAAATCAACTTTGTTCTCTTTGTATTTCATGCTCAGGGCTTATTTTAATTCTCCCGCTTTGTTTCTGTACACCTTCGTGGTTATATTCACCTGCTTCTGATTTCCACCGACATCACTGCACTTTCTTTCCTGCTCTGTAACATTTTGGGACAAAAAGATTCATTTTATGAATAGGAATGTCCAGCTCTGTGTCCACGTGCACAGTTGTGTGATGGAAGAGGTGCTAGAAAAAGTGGAATTAAGATGATGTGAAAATTTTCCCACAAAGCAATTGTAATCTTCCTTTGCTGCTCCCATCCTTCTGCTGTTTGCAGCAGGGACCGAAATGAGATTTTTTTTTCACATAAATACCACAAAGCTCCGCTTTTTTTCCAAGTGCGTGCCTGCTTTTGTGCTTTACCTTGGTCTCTGCCAGCATCACAACCCTTCTGTCCGAGCTGTGACAAGAAAATAAGTTCAGGTTGTTCAGGTAGGAGTCGTGTGTGCCGTCTCCTCAGTGCTGTTTGGAGCTGGGCATGAGGAATCCCATTGGAAGCAGTTAAAATGCACTTTAAAGGGGGTTTAAACAACCCCTCTTTTTTTGCTGTTGGGGATGGAAGGGGAGAGAGGCAACTGAAGCTGAGGGACTGGGGGAAGGGGCAGGAAAGTAAGTGAGAGGAAATAATTTGGGGAGCTGAGATACGGAGAAGGGATAGAGGGAGAGCAAGGATGTTTGGAGATGAGGGAAGATGGAAGATGAGCAAAACCCCTTCTTGAAGGGGAAGAAAGCTGAGAGCTGGTGCTGGGGGGCTCCAGGAGAGCTGAGGAGGGACTTTGGACAAGGGCACAGGGAATGGCTTCCCACTGCCAGAGGGCAGGGTTAGATGGGGTATTGGGAAGGAATTCTTGGCTATGAGGGTGGTGCAGGCCCTGGCACAGGTTGTCCAGAGAAGCTGTGGCTGCCCCTGAATCCCTGGAAGTGTCCAAGGCCAGGCTGGACGGGACTTGGAGCCACCTGGGCTTGTGGAAGGTGTCCCTGCCCATGACCTGTGCTCCCAAAACCTGGGAGATCCCACCAACCTTGGGGGTCCCACCACACCTGTGCTCCCAAAACCTCCCCCAGGGGGAGGTTTTGGGAGCACAGGTGTGGTGGGACCCCCAAGGAAGCAATGTGGGATGAAGCAGTAGGCGAAGCAGAGCTCAGTGGCAAGCAGGAAAAGTTGGTGAGGCAGCAGAAAACCCAAGCAGAGGCAGATCCTGAGTGTGAAAGGGAACGGGGACCACAGCTGGCCTTGAACAGGAGGTGTCCGTGGGTCCATGAGTAGGTCAGCTTTGGAAAAGCTGGTAATTGGTTCCAGCAATTACCAGAGCCCCGAGAGCCGCCGCTCAAACTTCGGGAGCCCCCGTGACAAATTGGAGCTGACTGCTGGCGCAGGAGTATCGACTTCCCCACTTCCAAACAGGGGCATCATTAGTCAAGAAAAGCATCTTTTAATTACTGGCAGGAAGAAAAAAAAAAAGGAAAAAAAAAGAAAAAGGGGGGGGGGGGGTGGAAAAAAGATCTCTCAGTATGGATCCTGCAACAAGCACCAGTTTTTTTGCGAAGTGTATTCGATATTAAATTTATTGTCTTGGAGGTGAGGGGGGGAGAAAGGCAGAGCTTGCCCGCGGTCCCTCCCTCGGTGACACGGGTTTGATTTGGAGTGAGAAGTCAAATTAGAGTAAATCAATGCTGCGACAATTAACCGGGGCTGGGGATGAGATCAGGACTCTCCTCTAATTGCTATTGATACTGTTTTTGAGCCCGCTCCTGCCCAGCGGTGCTGTGGAGTGCTGTGGCACACGAGTATCCCGGCGGGAATATGGAGAGGTGGGGAAGCCAACCTAGGGGCTCTGTGCCCATGTGCCACCCGGGCCTTCTGCACTGGTGTTTGCCTTCCTTCTGGACACACCTCACGGGTTTTGCCATTTTCTCCACGTTTCTTCTCCTGCCCACGTGGGTTCTGTTTGCAGGCGCGGCTGCCACGCCATCGTGTTGCTGGGCCTTTGCCAAACGGGACGAGCTGCCACCATCCCCCTGCCCGCTCCAGGAGACGATTATCTGCTCCCTCACCCTCTTTGTCTGAGCTCCCCAGGTCTCCATCTCTGTCTCACTGGGGTGATGTGTCACCTCCACCAGCTGGAAGCTGCTGGGCGAGCGGAGGGAAGGCAGGGTCATGTCCCTGCCCCACTTCTTGTTTTCCTGCTCGAGTGATGCCAGATATCTGCATTAGCTACCCTGAAGGGCTCACCTTAAGTGCAAACCTTAAGAGGCTCCACCATTTTGGTATCTTTTTAAGAATATTCATAAACAGGACCAACATCCAATTCCATTAAACCTGTATTTTTTAAGTGATGGGTGGCAGAAGCTCAGGAGTAGCTCTAAGCTCTGCTCTTCAACCAGAGCATCTGCAGCAGTTGTGCTCAGGTTTTGTTTGCACAGGAGTCACCCTGTTTGTTCTGGGTGCCAGAGGGGGTAAGGACATGCAGTGCTGGCTGAGCAGGGTGGAGCTGGGAGCCGGCAGCGTCGGGGACTGCCTTTCACCTTTCGCCGTGAGATCCAGGTTGATCCCTCGCTCACTGATGAGCTGAGTTTAATGGTGTCGAGAAAACCTTGTGCAGCTCCACTGTGTTTAGCTGAGTTTTACAGTCCTGCACTTATAAAGCCTGGCTTGCTCTTCCGAGGCTGAGCTGGTTTCTGGGGGATGACTGATGAGCAATATTAGACCGTGTCTTCTGTGGAAAAAAAAATTCACCCGTTCCGTCTTTCTTTTTTCGCAAAAATAATTAATCCTTTATTACAGACAGCGCAAATAAAGGGCAAGCGCTGGGAAGCAGAGTGCTTGGGATCCCAGAATCGTATCCTGGGTCTGGTGAGGATGCCCTGCTCCATCCCTCTCTCATCTCTGGCTCCTCTTGGAGCCGCTGTTATGGTGCTGTTGGTCTTGGATTCCTGGCATAAGGCGGCAGCGTCGCAAATGGGGCCTGGGGGAGCGTCAGGACCTCTCTGTCCGCATTGTCAGCTCGGGTTTCTTGGCGGTTCTTGGCCTGATGAGGTCAGTGTTTTGTGCCTTTTCAATGCTCCTCCACGCTTGACACCTTTCCCGTTCCAGGGGTGGGGGAAGGGGGGTTTTTAAAAAAAAATTAAAAAAAAAAAAAAAAAAAAAAAAGGGAAGATTTTATTGTGAAGGGCTGACCAGAACCCATCTGCAGTTGGGTGGCATCTGCTCCCCACATGTCACTTCCCTCATTAACAAGCAATTGAATTAATTAAATGCTACTCAGAACACGCATAACAAGCTACCGGCAGTGTCCAAATTAGCACTGATAATCAAGGATGATTTCCTTTATTATCCTGCTAAGTGGTGTGCAGGCTCTGATCTCCCTGTCTGCCCTCATCTATTTACATACCCCC